TACAAAGTATCTGAGACCAAATTGAAAATATTCATTTGTCACTTAAAGTTTTACTCTATGACACAGTTCACATACACACACACAAAAAAACTCAATGTGTAGCAAATATATCCTAGTCAAATCAGCTTGTAACAAACCAATGTTATCTACTTTTATCACTCAAACCTCTTCCTACTCTCCTTTACTATGAGTGCCAGGAAGCAAGATTGGTTTGAATTCAACGTGGTGACTTTCGCATAAATGAAATCTCATGAAATTATTTTTAATAATGAATTAATAAATACTGAAATGCTATCACAATGAAGAGGACACCATATTCCCCACAGAAACTCAGTTATTTTGTATTTCATTAGTATTCTAGTAGATTAAGATAAGACATATAAATACACTCATTGATGAAATAAACATGACATTTGTGTGTGTGTGTGTGTGTGTGTGTGTGTGCACATCTTTTCCTACTAACCTTTATGGATTATCCTGGGAAGAAGTGTCTTGCAAGAATATATGTGACTATATAGTGAAACATCCAAAGATGTACACAGCATCAGAAAGAATTATATTCTTTAGAGAAGGTCTAAGATTGAGCTAAGTCTCTCAGACTTCTGATATCCACCTCCACACTTTACCTATAAAACCCAAGAAAGCTTCATCATCCATTGTCCTTTGAGTCAACACTCACAGGCTGCTCACTAAGCAGTTTAGGACCTCACGATGAACTCTGCAAATCTTGTACTCCCTTCAAATACAATTCATTTTTTTTCTTTAAAAAATCCTCTTATTTCATTAACCAATGTCATCATAATAAATTTTTAAAAATAAAAATTTAAAAGAATTTAGAAATCCTCTTTATTTAACAGGTAGGTTTGACATCATAGATTTCTTTACTGTTCTCATTTTATATACTCTAAAGTGCACTGTATTGATTTTCAATTTCATCGATGTTATTCCATCTCTTTAACTAAATTACAAACCCTTTAAAAGTAAGGATAGATCCCCTTCTATTAAGAAAAGCTCAATTTTTTCCTCCCACACTGGCACACCATATAAATTGTGTAATATTCTGCAGAGTAAACAGTTAATGCTTGAGATTCCTAACTATAAAGACATTGACAGCATAAGCTGGATTTTTAAAATACGGAGAAATTTAACAACAACAACAAAAAATCTCAATTCTTTTATTTTTAAGAAAGTGGAACCAAATCCCAAAACATTTATGTGGTTTGCTGAATATATCTTTTCAACCTCATGCCAGACAAGAACTCAGCTCATTATTCTCCCAATTATCCCAGTTACTAAAGACACAGGTGACATTGAGATATTATAAATTCAGTATGAACATCTCCTAAAAGGATTCAGTAAGAGACTTTTCAGATCACCAAGGCAGAGACTATCTACTTCATAGAAGACTTTAAAAGTATAGTCAGTGTGAGGTAGGGAACACCCACACCAAGATTACCCTTAAATATTTTTGTACTGAGGAGCCACCGCATGGAGAATTTGAAAGTTAGATCAGTCACTGTCTTTTGGGTCATCTGGTTCCTCAGCTCAGCCTTTTTTGCCTTTCACTATTCAAGTCTGATAGAAACAAACGGGTTCTTCTCTCTTTCTTATTGTGGTAAATCTTAACATAAAATTTTTACCATTTAGCCATTTTTAGGTGTACAGTTCAGTGGCATTAAGTATGTTCACATTGCTGTGCAGCCATCACCATCATTCATCCCCAGGACCTTTTCATCATCTCCAACTGAAGCTATACTCATTAAACAATAATTTCTGTGATAGTTAATTTTATGTGTCAACTTGTCTGAGCCATGGGGTAGCCCAAATATTTGGTCACACATTCTTCTGAATGTTTCTCTGAGGGTATTTTTGAATGAGATTAATATTTAACATAAAAGCAGATATCTCTTCATAAAACGAATGGGTCTCTTCCAGTCACTTGAAAGCCTGAATGAAACAAGAAAAACCTGACCTTTCTCCCGATAAGAAAATAATTCTTCAGCAGATAGCCATTGGACTGGAACCGCATCACTGGCATTCCCGAGTCTTGAGCCTGCTGCCTTGCACTTCACATTTGAACTTGCCAACCTCTGTAATTCCATGAACCAATTCCATATAATCAATCTCTTTCTTTGTATATATACATCCTACTGGTTCTGTTTCTCTGGAGGGCCCTGATTAGTACAACTCCCCATTTCTTCCTCCTCCCAGCCCCTGGAAACCACCTTTTTATTCACTAACTGTATGAATTTGCTACTCTAGATACCTCACATAAGTGAAACCATACGATATTTGTCCTGTTGTATCTGACTTATTTTACTTGGCATAATGTCTTCAAAGTTCATCCAAGTTGTAGTCATGTGTCAGAATCTCCTTCCTTTTTAAGGCTGACTAGTATTTCTTCCCTTGTATGTGTAAACTACATTGCGTTTGTCCATTCATCCATTAATGGACATTTGGATTTCTCCTGTATTTAAAGATCCAGGGGGATAATTTCTATAATCCTTGCATAGCAGATAGCTGGACAGACTTGATAGACTTTAAATGGTTCTCATTATCCCTGCTTTCTGGTTTTATGCTCTTGCATTACCCCCTCCCCTTGAGTGTGGGTGGGATTTGTGGCTTTGAGTTGGCTAAGGTGACGGAATATACATGATTATGTATATATAATTACATAAGGTATAGTGCCAAACTTGCTAATGTTTCTCTCCCTCCTCTCTCTCCAGCTGCATTTAAAGGAGCAAGCTTGCGCGACGCCCACGAAGAAATGAATTCTGCCTGAGGGAGCTTGGAAGTGTGTTCCTCCCTACTCGAGCCTACATATGAGAACACAATCTAGCAGACAACTTGATGAAAGCTTTGTGATACCCTAGCAGAGAACCTAGCTAAGCTGTGCCCATACTTCTAACCCACAGATACTGTGAGGTGATAAATGCTGTTTTACATTGTTGCTCATATAATTTGTGGTAATATGTTACATGGCACATAAAACTAATAATCCTATGGTAAACTTTATCCTCCTGTTTTGTTAAACTTCCTTATATCTAACACTATCACTGGCCTTCAATACTTCTGAGGTTGCCACTCAATACTCAGGCTACAATCTTTGGTCATACAATAAAGATACTTCCTAGTAAAGTGGTTTCTTCTGCCACGTTATCTATTTTTAAAGCCCTGGCTGTGGCTCAACTCACTGTTCAGCTCTTTATAAGTCATACTTGTTGTCTCAGAGTGATAACGGTTCTGGCCTCTATTCCACTGAGGCACAGAGAGGAAGGGACTCCACAGGGGATCACCTGACTTGGACAAGGTCAAAAAGAAAATAAACAAAGAAACGAGACATAAGTAATGCTTTAGTCCCACTTGTTACAGCTATTGTGTAACGAGGCCCTGAAGCACAGGTGAAAAGGCCTGTGTACATGTGCCCTCCACTGGTTCCACTCCAAGTCCTTAACAACTGTGTCTAAGCTAATGATTCACAAGCTTAATGGAACTATGAGATTGTGTAGGGTTGTAATGAGGCCGTTTCTCTTTACCTCTGCTACAAGCCTTTTCATTGTAATACCTTCTTCTGTCTTCCTACCTTTATCTTCTCTCCTCTGATATGGGGCTGAGCTCAGAGTTAAAATTGCCACAAGACATAATCACTTTCATTAGGATAAACAAAAAGTTTTATTTCTCCAGGGAATAAGCCAATGAGAAGGGAAAAAAGTGGCAGTAGTGATTCTAAGCAAGAAAAGTAGCAAGGAGGTCATTAACAGAATTTTATTTTGTTTGAATCTGTTAAGAAGCTGGGGGGGCAAAAAGTTGATGGCAATCACATGGCAGGAAAGTGTACAGGGAGGAAAAAACAGTCATGTTAATTGGCAAACCTGTTCAAGCAGGTGAAGTCCAGCGTGATTGAAAGAAGAGATGGCCTGGCTAGCAAAGGGAACAATTCAAGATTTGGAATAGCAGGAAAGGTAGAACATGGTCATGGTCACAATACATATGAGAAGCATGGAGGATGTTAGTTATCCATGAAGGTGAAGGTCATTGGTGAAACTGAGTGGAAATCAAGATTATCTTAACACATCAAATGTTTATTATATCAGGACAATTTTACACATTCCACACACTTATTTCATCTCTATAAGTATATGAAGAAACACTGTTTTTATTATCCCATTTTATAGGGAATGAAACTGAACAAAGAGAGAAATGTAATAACTTGTCCAACATAACACATCTAGTAAGTGCCAAAGCAAGTATTTCATCCCAGAAAACCTAGCTGGATTCTTAGCCATGATGTTCCTCTGTCTCTCTGACAAGAATAAGAGAAGAGAAAGGTTACCGATGCTACTCATGTACCTGGCACTCTGAATAGAAATATTCTGAACAAATGCCTTCATGTCTCTGATTGTATTTCCTCTATGAAACAACATCTAGAGCAGGTCAAGTGGACGTTCCACTCTTATTTTACGAATAGCAAAATCAAGGACTGGAGAAAGTATGTAATAACTCAGTGGAGGGCTCAAACTAGAGTTCTGCTCTCCTTGTCCTGTAAAATATCTCCCAACTTGCCAAGCTTTCTGCTGAAATTTGTAAAATACTATTCATTCTAATGCTATCTTCCTTACATTTAAAAAAATAAAGTAGTCCTCATTTTGTTTTGAAACTGACTGGTTTCAAGTCATCACCATTGGCTTTTCTCTATTTGATTTCCTTAGCTAAGAAAAAAAATTAAGTTTACATGCTTCATTCTCATATCACATTGTCATGCTGCATGAGGGCTCTTAGAATCCACCCCACCCAACAGTTCCTCTCAACAATCATTCAATAAAATCAAACTTTCAGAGTTAGAAAAAAATCTGAAAGGTGGTTTTATTCAATTCTTATAAGAAAGATATATCTCTATAAACTGTCTAATTTTCTTATAAAATACTTTATATTTAAATATTTTAAATAATTTCTATTAAGTAAAAGATTATCAACTTAAGTATAAATCATTTATACAGCATTCATTTGTTCTTGTAGATGTGCTTCTTTACAAATATTCTATGTCCTTTCCATTCGTGTTTATTTATACTCTTACCTTAGATTTTATTTGAGAGAAAGAGAAAATGGTGGTGGTGGTGGGGGGGGGACAAAGAGGAAAGAGAGAGAGAGAGAGAGAGAGAGAGAGAGAGAGAGAGAGAGAGAGAACTTGGAACCCAGTTTAGAAAAAGAATGTCTGTCTGACATTTGTTTCAGTAGAAATTTAAGTCAGGATGGAGGGGGATTTCATGGACAGGACCCAGAAATTCTAACCTCCAAACCTGGATGAGATGGATTTCCAGTTCATTTAGCAATCTCTCAGTCCTACTCCAATGATTAGAAATAAATGACCCAGAACCAGGAGAGTTGATTATCAACGTGGTGAAGGGGAGGGTTTCAAAGAGCAAGGAGGGCTAATCAGATGGAGGGGGAGTGAATGGAGTTTAGCAGAGTGACTTTTAACCTTCAACAGTCACCCTGGAGTGCTGTGGTGAAGGACCAAGAGTATTACTCATTTTCCGATGGAGAAGAGTACTTATTGGGTCACCAGCAATTTGCCTTTGATCCTCCTCAAAGTCAAGTTTCTCATTATTGCCTAGAAAAACACCTAATTCAGAGGACTGATGTATCCTCCTTGAATACCTTCTTTGGGGGGCAGTGGGAGAAATTTTAAGACGTATAGAAAGGATTAATAGTAAAAGAGAAGAAAAGAAGATAAAGGGGAGCAAATGTCGAGACCCTAAAACCAGAAATAGAAGTAAAGAAAGAAGCCAGGGTGAAAGAGTAGGGAGAGACTACAGAAAATAAAAGCCCAGGGGAGTAAGAAGAAAGAAAGAGAGAAAAGGAAAAACTGATTTACTGCTGAGAAAACTTCTCTCCTTAAGGCCTCTAGGTCAAGAAATTGGACATGGCACAGAGCGTGGAAAGGAGGTAAGGACATCCAGTGTGTGATCTTGGAGAAGCAGGAGGAGTTCAGCCCAATGGGAGTGCGAACTCCTGCAGTGATGGCCTCTGCCCTGGTGTATTTCATCCAGGTGAGTTGTGAAGACGCAGGAATAAAGTTTTTGTTTGTTTGCTTCTCAGATAAGTCAACTTTCCAAAGAATCTGGGCGGGGGTGGGGGGGGGGGAATGAATGAGGGGAAAAGACATATGTAGACCCAAGGGGTAGTGGGAAATGAATACCTAGAATGTTTCCTCAGTATTGTGGGGTTACATAGCGCTGGTGTGACGAATGACAACATCAGTGAAAAGGGGGACAGAAATGAAGGCAACCATAGATACAAGCAGGAGAGCTATGGCAATTTAGAAGTGCCACTTTTATATATTTCTCTCTTTTAGCCTATCACCCATCCTTCAAATTCCCAAGTAAATAATCAAAACTAGCTCTGTAATTCCCCTAAACAGAGTTTCCCACATCAATCCTTACACTATTTTTTGAAGTTTATAAGTGCTTTCAGATCAGAAATAAGTTAAAAGAAAGAAAACTCTTTAAAAATAACTTTGGATCTTTTATTTCTTCCCACTCAAAATTAGAAGTTCCTGAGAAACTCATTTGGTGGGGAAGGGTTCAATGGACTGGGGGGATTCTGGACAATTGTCAAGGGAGAGTTTACACAGCTATGAAATCTATTAAGGAGAACAAGTGAAGAAACTGACTAGTATCAAGTTCCTGTACAGTTCCTAGCAGGAAGTGGGCTGTCTTTTTCGCTTCCTATATTCCAGTTAAATTAATGTCTGAAATCCATTTATTTTCTTGTATTTCTTTTTTGCTCCCCTTTCTCTTCCTTGACTGTCACTCTCCTTTTTTTTTCTCCTCTTCACTTTTGCAACAGGCCTGAAAGAGTCATTTTATCTGCTGAGTGCTTTAGGCATTCTAGCTTTTAGTCAAGAAAATGAAACAAAGTACCAAGACTGGGTTAAGGATACACACATTTTGTCATCTTTAGTGACCAACTAGAATTAAAACAAAAACTAGGAGTTTCTCAAATCTTACCCATAGAGGACAGCTGTTAGTCTTTTTAAAAACATCCTTTTATGATTTATCAGAAGTATGTGTGTGTTCCCTCTCCATAAAATCCCAATAAGTGTAAATCTCTGTCCCTTTTTAGAAGATATTTGTGGTCTTTGTTGTTGATTTCCTGAAATATCAAATCTTTTAAGTTATTGTGAGAGAGAAACAGTTTCTAGAACAAAAGTTTACCTAGACAAGTTTTTGAAGGAGAGAGTTAACTGAAATATAAGGTAAAAGAAAGAATGGAAGGTTTCTTTACTGAGAGTTGAAGGGACTTAATAGGAATGTCAAGAAGTTATTAGAGCAGAGTTTTCCTTTGTTCTTTTAATTCAATATATATCATTGAGTATGATTTGAATTATGGCTAAATCAATAGGTGTGTGAAGTTGGTCATGTTACTTAAACCCCTATGCCTTAACCCCTTAACCATTTAAAATAAAGTTAAACATACCCACCTACATGGTTATTGTGATGAAATGTTACGAAATACTAAAAATTTTTAGCAGTCTGACTTCCATATTGTAGCTATTCAATATATAACTTCCCCAATCCTTCTTTCCTTGTATGCTAAGTTATTTATGTGCTGAGGGAATGAAAAATAGCAGTGAGATGTATCAACCAAATTAAAAAATGAAGGCTTTCATGTCACCAACAATAACAACAAAAAAGAGTGGTGGGGTAAAATTCGTTTTCACTGGAAAATAATTAGGAAGACAGTAACAGTATCCTGACGGACAGATTAGAAAATTTCTACGACAAACAAATTGATATAAATGCTGACTCTCATTCACAAAAGCAGTCATGCTCACTCACCGACTGCCAAAAAAAAAAGGCGAGAGAAGGAGGAGGAGGAGGAGGAAGAGGTGGAAAGAGAAAAGAAGGAAGGAGAAAGAAAGAAGCCAGATAGTGCTCTTCCAGGTTCTCTCACTTCAAATTCAGTAATGAATAGACATGTGAGAGATGAAAACAAGCGGTCCTAAACATGGCTGATGCTGTGAACTTGTCCTCATATTTACCTTGCTCTCACCAACTGATCTAACAAAGTACTGTCATGAGGGAAGACTGATAAGCTGTTGAGCAAAGCAGATGCATGATTTCCCTGTCTAAGACTGTTTCTCTTCCTACAGCTTCGTTGGGCAAGATGTGAGGAGAACTGTGTCAGTCCTGAACAGTAAGTATCTGAGAGTCCAAATGGGGAGGAAGGAGAGACAGACAAAACATCAATATACAAAACAGGGTCAAAATGTCATCAGATATCTGTGACTTCCCTTATTTCTACTTAAATGGGCATCAATCCACTTATCTGACAGACGGGTTATCCAAAAATAAAGACATGTATTTGTGTAATCCTAAGCACTCATAATAACACTGCTGACAGCATTTTTTCCAAAGCCAATCTCCCTGTCAAAGCAGCAGGCTTAATCTAGATTTATGCAATCTTAGAGATTTGCAGTAGACTTACTCATGCCTCTCAGTGAATCATCATGACATACTGGATTCAACATCTTAGTCACAGGCAGACATATGTGGGTGATTTCCAAAGGTGCATCATCACTTCATATCTGAAAAGCATTTTCTATTTTTTAGGGTATGTTAATATTTAATGGAAACTTCATTGTAATAAAATTTATCTATCACCTTGAGGTAGTTGTACCTTAATCTAAACCTGTGATAATTAAGTCTTATGTAGACACAAAGGATATAAAGATAAAAAGAGAAGAGATTAATTGTAATTGGAGGTAAACTATTAAAAAAAAAAAAAGCAGAGACAGTTTGAAAGACTTGCTCAGGCTGAAGGAAAACACATATTTAGCCATGAGAAGGGTTTCCCAATAGCCAAGTACATTACACCCAGGGGAAATGGTGATGACCTTGGTTACTTGTCACATGCTTTCTGAGGTTTTCACCTACCACCATTAGAAGGGGCATTTTTAACAGGATCAGAAAATCGTAATGGTGTAGAACTAGAAGGGGCTTTGAACAAATAGGGAATGTGAGACAATTCAGGGAGATATTGTTCAGTGAAAAAGCAAACTGTATGTTCCACATTGTGCAAATGAAAAAGGGATATGGAAGTGGATTTCAATAGATTTCAATAGATCAATATATCAGAAAGTATTATTAAATTTACTCATCTTCAAAGATATTCTCCTTTGCTTCTCCTCCTCATTCCTAAGTTTATCCCATACTCCTTCTCCCATGAAATCCATATTTTCCTATCCCTATAGAGAAAATTTGTAATAGCCTTAGTTAATTGGAAATATTTAATTAGCTTTCATCATGATGAAGTTGATATCTATGTTTTCCCCCTTTTGGCCTCAGTAGATGTGTATCAGTTTTGATTCTGGATGTGAAAATTTAGTGTCCTTTTTATGGTAGAAATTTTTATGGTTTTATGGTGGCCCATTTTGCAACAACTTGCAACAACATACATAAATTACAAACTTCATTGAATTGTTTTCATACTTATAACTGAATTTTTTAAATATTTAAATATATAGAAACCTTAACTTTCACATCCATTTTCAAACTCTCTCTTTGTAAACTTGCATTGGAAGTTCTTTCTTGGTACTTGTCATCATAACCACTTACAATGGTCATGGTTACATTTTTATTAACACTATTTCATGATCACTACTTTAGTCTGTCTTATAATGATTTACAAAATGATTTACACAATGTCCTCTACAGTATAAAACACTAATTAAGGCATCCCATTTCACAATAGATTCAACTGGCTACATTGAAGTGAATATAACCTGTGATGCTTTTATTATAACAAGATGCCATCTTATTGTAACTCATTGTTCTGATTCTGGAATCATAACAGGTGTTGACTATATTTTTATTGCAAAAATAATTTATTCTTTCTTCATAGTTGCCTGGCCACAGACTGGGTACATCTCTGGTATATATGGTAAGTTTCAGCTATGACACCCAGAAAGGCATTTAAAAGAGGCTTTCTTTTTCTCAGGGTTTGTTTTTTGTTTGTTTTGCTTTGTTTTGTTATTTTTTAAATATTTGACAACAGGAGAAAAAAATGTATGAGACAGCTAGCCTACTCACCTAGCATCTCATGGAGTAAAGTTTATTTGCCTCATTACTACCTTATGTGATAATATGCCAGGATTGCCTATTTCAATATCATCTCCTCGGCCAACATCAACAGATTATTGTGTACATTCTCAGGGTCAGCTCTAGAGATTATCTACATAGAGGAGATTACTTCAATAAAGTGAAAAGCAGCCCCTCCAAACTACATTAAATCTCTTTCTATTTGTTCTAATGAACTGACTTAGTCTTGCTGACAAAATAAGGACATATATATGTGAAGTGAAAGCCTTGGGATTAAAATCTTTTAATTATTCTATAAAGTATTCACACAAGAATCAAAGTGGAGACATTGAAGGCTGATTATGCCAAAATAAGAGAAAAAAGGCAGATCACAGAGCTCTCACTGTCCTGTGGGCTCCTTGCAGGTTGCTGGTGGTAATTGGCGCATTGCTTCTTCTGTGTGGTCTGACTTCTGTGTGCTTCCGCTGCTGCCTGAGTCGCCGGCGAAATGGCGAAGACGATGGCCAGCCACCCTATGAAGTGACAGTCATTGCTTTTGATCATGATAACACTCTCCAGAGCACGATCACTTGTGAGTTCACTGACATTACACATGGGAGGTGAACCCAGGTTTAAATGAACGATTAGGATGGTATAACAGTATAAAAACATTGATTGAATAATATTATAGATTCTAGAACTCAGGGTGATTTTATTTCCAAAAAGCTGATGGAATGGTGACCTGGCCTCTCTTGGATGCTATTTTCTCAAATATCGGTCTGACTGATAATAGAGTGAAGAAAGAAGTGAAATGTTGGAGACAATGTCGGAAATGCCCTGTAGGAAAAATTACTCAGTTCATAGTTATTTTGATAAATTATTTTAAGCTCTGAACATGTCTCCTTTTCAAAACCTACATTTTCTAACTTTAATATAGTTAGAGAAATGTTTCATTTGTACTTTCAGTTCTTTTATTCTCCAAGTCTTAATGTGCTAAATATTAGCCCCAAGACACTTTATTTTCTTCTATTCTCTTCTTTATATTATACCTTTTCCTAAAATTGGAGAGTAAATACCAGGCAGAACAGCAGGTAGCAAAACACTGTGACATTTATTTTGCAAAGAAAATATTACAGCATGTTGTTGTTCACCTTTCCTGCCTCCCTGTTCTATCATTTTTGAGAAAAAGATAAATAAGGCAGAAATAAATACTCCTAAAGAGTCTGCAGTATCAGTGGGTTGGTATAAGAGTTCTGAATCTGTAAAGTGGAAAGGGCAAGGTAGTGAGATACAGGAACACAATTTAGAGTATTTGACAATAAAGAGAAGACAGGATCTTCTAGCTGAAAGCGAAGTTGGTTTCTAAACAAGCTCCACAAGATTTTCATAACGTTTGTGGCGGAGCGTTGACAATGAGTTTGGACACTTGTTAAAAGTAAAAGGAAATTAAGTATGTTGTAAGTCTGATTTCTGAGGATGTCACATTTACTCTAGCTTTGTTCCTTCTGCTCTCACCAGCCCTGCAGTCAGTGTTTGGTCCTGCTGCTCGGAGAATCCTGGCAGTGGCTCACTCCCACAGCTCCCTAGGCCAGCTGCCTTCCTCCTTGGACACCCTCCCGGGGTATGAGGAAGCACTTCACATGAGTCGCTTCACCGTGGCAAGGTGTGAGCAGAAAACACCTGATCTATCCCCCGTGCCAGAAGAAAAGCGGCTGCCTCCAATGGAGAAGGAGTCTCCTCAAGCAGAACACTCTTCAAACTGATAGGAACTCTGGTTTTATAAGTGGGGTGGGGCTTCCCCCAAAGTTGGTAAAGACAGACATATGGAACATTTTTTTCCAACTTTCAGAAGATTTTGGATGACATGTAAACATCATTCAGTGGAAAAGATGGGTTCCAACTCTTCATTTCCAGCCACACATATTTTCTGATATGGAATGCTCTAATGGAGAACTCTCATTCTTTACCCAATAGCCAAAATTTGCAACTAACCTCTAGCAATGCTGATTGCTACAGAACCAGGAAAACATCACAAAGATTTCTTGAATTCCTTCAGCTCTTGAGTTCCTTCACCCATACGATACTGCAAGTTGCTCTTCTCTGTCAGCTAATAGGTAATACACTTGAGAAGAAAAACAGCCATAAACATTAATGCACCAAATTCATCCTTCCTCTTGAGAGAACACCCACTTTGATACTGAGTGACAATGATAATCTTGGATATCATGTAATATCTAACTGGACATCCAGAATTCAGGGGTGGGGTTGCAGGTATGGGACAGGAGAATACAGTATATAATTGAAGTGCCAGATATCAAGGTCTTTCATTCACTTTGGTCCTACCAACCAGCGGTATGAGACATTGCATAGAGTGCAGTCACAGTTCTGTTCATTTTTCAGTTCCTCTTCTAACTTTGAAAGTATAGTATCACTTTGCTTCCTTCCTCCTTCCTGCTTTGACCACTTGAAAGTAACGTCTATAGTGACAAACACTAGACTCTAGTGGTGGCCTTCACTGCCACCTTGTGGAGCCATGATGGAAAATGCATTCTCCTGTTCGAGCCTATCTACACACCTCTCCAGTTCCTGCAGCACTAACTGAACTAAGCCTGGATGAGATCCTTCTGAAGGCACCCTCCTGCTATGTAGGGCTAAGTTGTCCACCTAACACATGATCTCCAAAATGTACTACTATTGGAAAATTGAGGAAGCGAATAATATTTGAGGAAAAACTATTCACTAGTGACTGTAGATAAGTCTCTGAAACCTTTAAAGCACAGTTTGCTCCTCTCCTCAGTCATCATGGAGTTCACTCCTGTCACCTCCCATTTTGTTACTAGCTGTTAGCACCTGTTTGGCTTCATTTCTTTCTATACTTAATCTAAGACATCTGTTACTCAGCTCAATCACCTTCACCACTGTTTTAAAAAACTTTTAACCCCTTTCAACTTTCCTAACTTCTATCCTTTAAATTCTAAACATTGGTCCAATGAAGCTGCTATCTCCCCCAAGCCTACACTGCTGAGCAGAGCTGCAGAAAATCTCTCAACTCTACTGAGGTCGTTACAAGGTCACAGTCTCCAACACACCTGAATAATTTACCATTTCTTCCAGATTTCCTTCAGTAAATTTCCCATTTCTTTCAGTAGTTATTTAAATTTCATTGTCTCTCTTCAAACCCTTAACTCTAGGCAAGGGACTTTTCCTCCTAGTTTAGAGAGAAAAATCAAACCTTTAGGTAACTTCTTTGCCCAAAGCCTTTCCCATTTCTTTCAGTAGTTATCTAAATTTCAATGTCTGTCTTCAAACCCTTAACTCTAAGCAAGGGACTTTTCCTCCTAGTTTAGAGAGAAAATCAAACCTTTAGGTAACTTCTTTGCCCAAAGCTGCAAACCTCTGTGGATCTCCCCTTTACTCCTTCCTCTGGTCTCAATGAAATAGATGTCCTTCCTTCTTTTCAAGAATAAAACTTCTAATTGTGCTTTGTATCACATTGATTCAACAGTTTCTTTGTTGGGCAGGTATTATTTAGGAAATTATGTGCCAAGAATAGTGCAGAGATGGCTGGGGCTATAAAATCATGCAAGACGCACAGGGTCTCTGACTCTCGGTCCTCACAGAGCATAAGAAAAGGCAAAAGAAAAATGATAGAAAACATTGAGAGTGCAAAGAACCTCTGGGAAAGGCAGAGTGAGGGAAGATCATTTTCAAAGATAAGGAAAGGTCTGGTAAATTCGAGGAACTGAAAAAAGACTGGAGAAGATGATTGTAGTAAGCTAAGGAGAGAGCTGCAGAAATAGAGTCTGAGAGAGAGAAGGGGCCTTGGGGTAAGGAGTCTAGGTGTTGAGAAACCATTGCAAGATTTTAAACATTAAGTCACTTGATGCAATTTGAAATTAAGACAATGAGTTAATGCTACAGGAGAATGGAAAGGAGTAGGCCAAGTATGAAAGCGTGAAGACCAGATAAGGGCTACTGAAGAAGAGTAGATAAGAGACGCTTATGGCTGGGACTAATGTAGTAATATTTGAGATGAAAATAGAGATAAGTGTAAGGATTTGAAAGATATATTGGGGAAAGGATCATCAGGATTTGCTAATGGATTGGGTAGGGAAATGTAGTAAAGGAAAAAAGAATAAAATGACTACTAGATCATTGACCTGAGCCAATGCATGGAAGGTATAGCAGTTCATTAGGGTGGGGAAAGACTAGATTTAGGGGGAAATTCCAGACAGTGATTTCTAAAACGGGGAAAAGGCATTTGATGGAGAAATAATAACCAAGTTAAGATAAAACCTGCTTCTGGGTATAAATAAGATAATCAACTCCCTATCTCTCTTCTTTTCCTTCTTGCATATTCTTTAATTGTTCACTTTCTACCAGCTTCTTCTCTTTAATATACATTAGATTTATATGAATTGTATATTGCAAAATAAAGGGGAGTATACAGCTGAAGAAAAAAGGTGTCACATTGTTAAGCCTGTACTAAGTAATTCAGACACTGAACTTAAACACACTTAATCTGTTTTTAGCAGGATAATTCCACAATGTGATCAATATTTTAGAGGGATACTCTGATGCAAGTCTGAGATCTTAGCTGAAATGTGAAGAAGATTGATCTTAGTTCTACCTAGGAGCATATTATAAAAACCTTAGTTGAAAGCAATGAGAGTCTGAAAATAAACATAGGGGTGTTGATGAAATGGATGATAATTATTTCTTCTTTTCAACAGAACTCTAAGCTGTGCTCAAATTGAAAAATAACAAAAAAGTTTAGGAAATCATATTTCTACACCATTTTTCTTTAGGTCTTTTCTCTAATTTTAAGCAGTAGTGATTTTCTATTGCTTCTTTCTCAGCCTAAATGACACAAATGTATATACACCTGCAGCCTGGCAGAGAAGCTACACTACCATCCTCGACAGCTTACTTTAGGTATCCTGGTGATGATTATACTAAGCAAAAAACCACCTTCCCCATCACTTTTTACTGCCAAAACAGACTCCTGTAAACAATCTGGGCTGTGTCCAGTGTGATAACAATACGCGAAAGAAAGTGTCGATATCTGCGTAGTAGGAAATAACTCTAACAGCACAAAGGTCCTAATCTCTGAGAGACCTGAAAGACCAGTAGATATTAGTTTACATGGGACAATGCAGGCTCTCTTCTCTGATGGAAGATAGGTCTGAGAGAAGATTGGGCTGTGATGACTGCTTTCTTCTGTGGTTTGGAGGCTTGACTTGGCCTTATGGGTGTGGTCTATAAGACCTTTATTAGAGGGTCTGATTAACGCATTAAGAGTATACTTGTACGTGGGTATATAAAAAAGAAATTAAAAAAACGAGATTTATGTAACCAATATGAGAGACAGGAGAGAAAAATTGCAAAGTCTGAGAACGGTGAATTTTGTTTTCTTTTCCTTGGGTAAGCAGATTGGCTGGAAAGCAATAAAGAGGCCTTGATGGGAAGTCTGCCCTTGAGCAGACTGACTGGGAAAACAATTTCAGTGATTTATGGATTCTCCAAGGCACACTGAGGGTTCAACTGAGGGTGGAAAATATTTTACATGCTGTCTCAGAGTAATGGTGGCCAGTGTCCTTCTGTTGGCACTTTCACCTTTGTTAAGCCAGAATTAACTGTTTCCTACCTCAGAATTCCTCATAATTTGGGTTTCGGAAAGGTTGTTGGAAAGCCATCGTGTTTGAGTTGAAACCTGACAGATGATAGAATTTTAAAAGTTAAATATACCATATAGCAGCTTTTATTGTCTATGAGCAAAGATGGAAATAATGTGAATGTGCATTATGAAGAATGTTAAAAATTCTAAGAGTGATATAATAAGAATAAATCTGGAAAAATAAGTTGGCATCTTCTTATGGATGGCTTTATATGGGAGCTTAAGCAGTTTGATCTTTATCCTGCATTCTATGAAAGCCATCGTAAATTTTTGATGTGGGAAAGATATCAAATAAGCTGTAGATGCTTTGGCTGTTACTAGAAGATGAATAAGAGAAGTAAGATGTAGAAGACAGGGAGACCATTATGGCTACTGAACCATCCAACCGGCAAATATTTCTTCAGTTTCTTTCAAAAAAGCTGAGTTATAGGCAAAGTTATGAAATAAGGCAGGCTAAATTTAACACCTCTTTATTTCAGCTTCCCTGTATTCATCCTTTAATTGTTTTTGTTGCCTTTAGTTATTGCTGTCCTTATTTGACAAATGATGTCACTATTCCAAGTACTAGACTTTTCTTGAGTTCCAGTTTATATAATCCTACTTGCCTGCACAGGGTCTCTCTAGTACTCCCATCTTGCACTAGACTTGGAACCTGCTCTCTCCTATATTAGTTAATACTTATTACTATAGGTGGTAAAGTTGAGTACTACCCTCTCTCTGTCTCAAAAAGTTTGTAAATCCAAACTCAGTACATATCAAAGTAGGTCAATAGAAAGCCAATTCAAAGGGGGCAAAAGTTTATCAAAAGTCAAATGACTGATAAGCAATCATATTCATTCGAATGCCTATGGTACATCATCTAATTCTTTAAACCAAGGTTTCCCTTTTTATCAGCTTTGGAGGCTGAACTGTAGAGATGTGGTATAACTTGCAAGAAGTTGAGTGTCTGAACTGGTTTAACACTCAACTGCCTCAGACTTCAAACATCAAAATGAAAAAAAAAAACCAAAACCCTTTTGCTCTTATTTTTAAATTTAATTTTTATTTCTTTTAATCAATGTAAACATTCATACAGATTAAAAAGTCAAAGAGCTCTACAAGGCTCATAAAGAAAAATAGCACCTTCCAACCATAAACGTACATATATACACACCCTCTACTTTTTAGCTGATTTTATAAAATCTACATTTCTCCAAATACTATGTACACATTGCTATTCTTGATTTTAATCTTCAATCTTCAAGTCATCTATTGACTTGCCCTTATAGAAGAGACAAAATTTAGCCCCTTTTCATTACAATAATTTATACTTTTGCTACCATGACATATCGGAACATTTCTTATGCCCCTCTATCTTCTAAATATAGTTATATCATAATTTTGATTAGATGAGTATAATGGGTAGCAGGAAAAAAGACTAATAATGACTAAGAGTCTGAAATCAGGCTTTTTGGATCTTTCCCTTACTCCTTGTCATGGTGTAGTCAATTGTTCTCTGCTTCAAATTCTTAGGTTGTAAAATGATAAAATGAGTATATATACATTATGTTACTGTGTGTGAATTATGGGAATTAATGCCTATATACATACTGTACATAAGGCTTGTATTTTAAATCCTTTTTCTTTTACGCATGTCTGTTTCTATGTTCAAATTTTCCCCTTTTTAAAAGGATGACAGTTATATTGGATCAAAGACTACCCTAAAGGCCTCATCTTAATTTGATTATCTGCAAAGACCCTATTTCCAAAGTCACATCCAAAGATACTGGGGTTATGACTCCGACATTTCTTTAGGGGACACAATTCAACTTATGACACAGTTATTTTAGTGGAGTTTCAGGAGACAATAAAGAAAAATGTATATTTTTTAATCCATCATCTTAAATCAGAAGTCTACCCTTTGCTTTCTTGACTATGACATATTGTGCATTTTTTGAGTTTTTATTTTGTATCTAAAGCACTGAAGATATAAATATAAGTAACAGGTCACCAAATAGCACAGAGTCTACTGGGAGAAAGTATCTGAAAATAGGGACTTAAATGCCATTAGCATTCTAACTCTATCTTTAAATCTCTCTCTATCCTTATCTATATATCGTGTCTATTATCTTCTTTTTAAAATTATTTTCCCCCTCTTTAATTCCCCACCCCTTCCATCCCTGACCTATGGATGTTGTCATTTCCCCTTAAGAACTGGATCTCTGAAGGTGAGGCGTCTCCTCCCATAGGCACCCGGGGCCTGGCACACCCAGGGATGGTCCGTGGCTCCACCTGGGGTGTGAACCCAGGACTTTCTATGTGTAAAGCAGATGTGCTAACCACTACGTTATGGAGCTATCCCTCTGTTATCTTCTTTATCTCTCCTATGTTGGACTGGTGCATTTGGACAGCAAGTTTGGACTTCATGAAATTAAAAACAATGGCTATTGTAAGCCTCTGATCATGTATCATCCAAACTCTCTCATCAAAAAAGGGGCTTACTTCTCTTAGTTCAAAAGTGAGAAGTTTTAAGGAAAGATTCTGATTAGTCTTTTGGAAGTTACCTGGCCTAAGTGGTCAAGGTAGTCAGGGTCTCTGATTGGTGGATGCCACTAGAACTATGTGTTATCAGTGTGAGAGGAGTAGTTACTTACAAAACCATGTATTACCCCCTCCCCCCCAAAAGAAAACAATGAAAATAGACACAGTGTTATCTAATGACAATGCATCAGTAAATGTGCTATGACAAAGATAAGCACACGGTGCTTTGAGAATACATTGAAAGGATGCAGAATTATCCAGGCAAATGAGATTAAAAAGGATTCTGGGAGAAGGTGATGCCTGAACTAAGCCCTGAATGATTTATACGAATTAGATAGAGAAAGAAAAAAAAAATAAGATAAATTGTTTTTTACAGGAAGAGCCCTTGGGAATATCCAATGGCCAGAAACAAGG